CAATTTAGTTTACTGATTTAGGAATGAGTCTGATCTTTTAAACATTGAAATGTCTCATGCAAATTATTTTGCAAAGGTTGCTGCGGGTGAACACGATGTAATGAGTCCTTATGAGTCCATCACTTAAGGGCGATGGCTGTTATCGCTTTGCCTTACAACAAAAAAACTTTACAGTTGAAAACAAGGAAAACTGATTTAACGAGCCCCCGTGAAATGAAGTTAAACGATAACAACAATATAATGAAAACCATTCTTCGGCTCAAATATCACTAAAACAATTGTCCAAGAATTCTTAAAGTAACAAACAACAATTAAGCGAAATTCACAGCTACGGTCCAAAGAGACCTCGTCATATCGCGGTTTATTGTATAGCAGATCTTCAAACTTTTAGCTCCACAGTCTCGGTCTTACATAGGATGCCTATAAATATTGGACCAAAAATACCAAAGCCTAACCTGTTTTTTAAAAAACTTACTTTTTTTGAAACTTTAAAAACATCCAGTCACCTGAAAGACTTCCAGCTCATCGATTTCAAATGATTCACTCCCAAAGAAACGTCTACTCTTTTCAGAGAAGCCATTACCCCATTGGCTACACAATCGACTGTTGCTTGGCCACACTGCAAGGCCGATAAGCTGTGCAGTACCGAAGTTTGGCCCTATTTTTTTTTTGCACCCTATGCCACCTCCTGCAACTGCATTTAGTTTAAAAGGGTCACTCGCAGTTTGATTAACTAGTGTAAATAAATATGATGACTTGTCTTTCTTGAATTTGCGAATACCACCTGGAACGATGGAAGAAAGAAAAACAACACTTACTAAAACTGAGTTAAGCAAGACTCATACATTAAGGTAGGATTAAAGAAGCAAAATGAGATCACATAATTAACAGAGAGACTGATATTATTTTGCAGAATGTTGACTATAGTGTTGCCTTTCACACCATATAAAGATGCAAACAGGGAAACATGTTTGTATTAGGAGCTAACCGACCAGTTCGAACCGTTTCTGGGAATTATTTGCATCTTGGAACCGTTATTTGACCGTCTGGGGGAATTGTTTCGAACAATGGCCTCAAGCAGTTACATAAACTGAATTAGCCCTCTTACACGTGGTGTGCTAGAGCTTGGAATGAACAGACCATATGGTTTTGATGCGTTGTGCTGAACGAGATATTTTCAACTTACTTGATTCCCACGATTCTGTTGTGAACCCACCGCCAATAAAATTTCCACTTTTAATCACCACGAGAGCCTGCTTCGGCCATAAGCCTCTGCGCTTCAGATAGTTTGGCGTTCGCTAAGTCGCTAGCTTCAGCCATTACATTCTGGGCATCGGTTAATTTTGCACTCGCCAATTTGAATATAATCAACTCCTGATCTTCTTTAGCCGTCATATTTTAGGAAGACATTTACTTCCTGCTCGCTAACTGAAAGTAATAACTACAGTGAGCTCCTGTCGAATTCTTTCTAGTCAGCGATTTTCAGAAGAAAGCTTCGTGCCCAGGATTTTTGCTTTCAGCCACCACGTCGGTCACGCATTCAATGCATCCGAAAACGAGTAAAATCGATGTTTTTCGAACTTTCCCGGCCGATAATGCTATAAATCTCTGTAGCATGAGCGTCACCTAATCAGTTTTTAAATTCAAAGCTGCCTCTTTCAAGAAAACTCGCTTTTAGGTATGCGAGACAATCAGGTTTGTAACGTTTGAAACTGAAGTACGGGTTTTACTTCAAGGTTTTTATCGTGGAAAAGAGGGGCTTCTTTGTCTCAGGTATTCAAAACGAAAGCTCAATACATTTGAAGTCCAACTTTAACACCAAACGAAAACTCAAAAGCGATCTTCCAAACAATATGATTA